GAAGATCAATGGTAACAATATTAAGAATAAGGTAACATTTCAATATAACTATTAAAATCCAATCCAATTAAAGGAAATAATTATACATAAAGTTAGACTTAATTTTTAAAATGCAGAAGGTTATCATTTTACAGCCCCTTTATACTCACCAACCGCTGGAGTTTTGTTTACTGGCAGCGTATAACGTTACTTTAATAGTGCTCCTAAGGGGACATAAGGAGTAAACTAATGTTAGCCATTTAGTGTAGAATCCAAACTGGGTTTATATTGTTCTGTTAAATGCTTTAACAGTAACACCACAGCAAATGGTATAGGCCTAATAGGCCTACTAAACCAATTTTATGCAGTATGTTATTAGCATGTAAGTTAAACAACTGTAGAAAATTAATACAAGCACGATTTAGGCTAATGTTAAGACTTTTAGTGCAGATTAGCCATATTACAGAAATCGGAAAATTAAGCCTACAGGCTTACGTTACGTACCTTTATCTTCTTGCTTCTTCTCTTCTTCCAGGCTCTTTTTTGTCGTTTTTCTTGGCCAGAAAGATATTTTCGTTTCTTGTCAGACATCGTCGATTCGTCGGAGTCGCTAACTGACTGACCGAGTGACAACGAGTGACATCATAGGGGCAGTCGGGATCAAGACGCGCGCACGCATTTGCGGGGAGCTCCCGGTTGATTTGCCATAATACAGAACAAAATAAATAACAACTCTGTGCTTATCATGATGCCTGATAAAGAGCACTGGTCCATTTCTTTTTTTAAATTTATTTTATGTTACTTTTGTTGTGCGAAAAGTAACCTCAAGCACGCGCCACAGAGAATAGGAGGTGGAGGGTTCGCAATGCCCTGATGAACCTATGCCGTGATGAGAATTAAAATAGTTTAAAGTAGTCCAATACATTGTCTTTATGGTTGATGTCATTCAGGGCATATTGTTTTTTTTTTTTAAATAAAGTTTGAAAAAGCGATATTGAGTTGTGATTTATTTGAATGTGTATAACTATACTGTTATATGTATGTAGTCCCATGTTTCCCAGAGGGTGGAGGACATGTTTTCTGTGCCAGTTAATTTTCTTGTAGCAGTTTGACTCAGCAGCTACTGGAAATGCATCACGCTATGCGTCTCAAGTTATCACCTGCTGCTGAAACAATCAAAACGAGTTTTTGGAAAATGATCTAGTTCTATTTCAGAAGGTGGCATCAAGATCATTTTCCAAAAACTCAGCAAACAGTATCGAATTAAAATAGTTTAAACTATCTTGAACAGTATGCCACCTTCTGAAATGATCTAGTTCTATTTCAGAAGGTGGCATACTGTTCAAGATCATTTTCCAAAAACTCCATTTAATTGTCTCAGCAGCAGGTGATAAGGTGTAATGCATTTCCAGTTCAAACTGCCGAGCCAAACAAAGCTACAGGAAAATGAATACATGATACAGAAAACATGTCATCCACCCTCTTGAAACATAGGACTACATAGAAGTTGTATAAAAATGACGTGTTAAATAAGTCAAAATTTTATGTTGAAAAGACGTCCACAAATGACCACGTTTGGACTATAGCCCTTACATGGAGGTCCCACCGACGTCAACATTAGAACATTAGACGTGCGGTAGACGTCTAATGTTGACGCCAAATGCATTACACCTTATCACCTGCTGCTGAGACAATTACCGTAAATGCAGTTTTTGGAAAATGAACTTGAACAGTATGAGAGCAGACTGTTCAGTTGGAGGCTGCTTCTGCTTCAATGTAATAAGGACTGCCACAGGAAGTCATTCTTGTAATAATGACTCACCTTTGTGCCATGAGGGGAGAATAATATTTTGAGAATTGTGACTATTTACCATCTTTTACTTTCAACTTTGCTTTTGTTTCTTTCTTAATGCTGTAACACCTCTTGTGGATGAATAGTCTATCTATCAAGATAGATAATTGGCATTGCTTTTTTTTTTTTAAGTCAGAAGGGAAGGAAATGTTTTGTCCAAAATAATTATTTATAGACTGGTCAACATGAAACTTGGGCTTACCTTGTATTGCTCTATAAATCTTTGTACCCTCTAAAGGGCGCTTCCCCCTTTTCCCCTTGCCCTTCAAATTAAATTGGGCCATGAGGCTGTTGGTAAAGAGCCTAAAGAAAAATAAATTTCAATAAATGAATGTGAAGGATATACAGTGCTATGCATAAGTTTGAAGACACCCATGCTAAAGTTTCCTAAAAAGATGAATAAAAAAAAAATCATCTTTTGGAAATTGATCTTAATGCCTTAATAAAAAAAAATGAGGAAAAGTCCAACCTTTAGGGACACCATTTTTCTTTGTGAATGAATATGTATCGTACATAAATAAATGTTATTTCTTAAAATACGGGGTGCATAAGTCAGGACACCCCTATGCTAAATTACCATAGAGGCAGATTTATATTTTTAAAGGCCAGTTATTTCATGGATCCAGGACACTATGCATCCTGATAAAGTTCCCTTGGCCTTTGGAATTAAAATCACCCCACATTATCACATATCCTTCACCACACCTAGAGATTGGCTTGGAGTACTTTCCATAAGATCATCTCTCAATGCAAATCAAACCAGCTATTAGGCTAACTGAAAATTAGCTATTCTGAAACCCCGTATTTTAAGGAAGAACATTTATTTATTTACGATACATATTCATTCACAAAGAAAGATGGTGTCCCTAAAGGTTGGACTTTTCCTCTTTATACCGTACATTATTACTACCTCGTAATAAGGGTTACACATGCATCATGTTGTGGGAGAAAGGGGGAATAGGGAGCTGTTCCTTTAATGTTGTAAGGACGGGGAATTGTAGTCCGAGTAGAGGGAATTATGGGTAGGGTAGTCCGGAACACGCATGGCCGCGTGTGCAGCGCTGAATAGAGCGGAGGTGTATTTTTCTTTCTTTTTGTTTCTTCTTGTTACATTCAGTGGAAATTAAAGGAGTATTTATGTTTACTGCAACATTGAAAGTAGTGATGGGCAGATCGAGGCTTCGTGAAGCAATGAAACAGTTGAATCAAATGGTTCATATTGTTTCGAATCAATCCGACACCCGTCTCCACGGTGACACCTAGTGGTCACTTGCAGGTGTTGATCTGAAACAACCTTGACGAGCCATGATTTTTTTTTTTTTTTTTTTTTTTTTTTTTTACTTTTCTAATATGTGAATCTTGTAACCTATAGACTCCTCATTGTGCATAATGTTATTTTGGTCCTGCAAAATGAATATTAATAAAATAAATCAAGCCACAATGTCTCACTTTTTTACATATTTTTATTTACTTAGCCTACTTCTTTTTTTTACAGATAATTTCTCCAGCCTTTGAAAAAATCCTCTCACAAGGGACACTTGTTGCTGCATACAAAGATATATTTTAGCTAATACATACAAATGAGGAAAGATTACTGCTCTCTCTTTCCAGTAAGTTAGTGGATCATGAGTTCTGGGCAAATACGCATCGTTGATGTATTTTTTCACTTCCACTGTGGCATCAGCTGTAGCATTGTGTATCATCTGGGTTTGATGATACGAGTATCAAAAAGTTCCCATAAACTGTCCTGTGTTTCTACTGGATGATGTATTGTTGCAGTAGGCGAGCTGCCGATCACAATACACACATCTCACTTTATTTGGGGTTTCTAAATGTAAATGCTCCCACACCACAGATGTACGGCATCTCTTCTGGGGAGCCTCCATTTTATCTATCTATCCAAATCTATCTAGATATGTATCTCTAATCTATCTATGTAATTAGATATGTAGGCCTATAATAAATTATAGCCTATATATAACATTGATATGAGTGATCACCTGGATTTAGACCTGCCTATATTGTATTTATATAAAGCGTTCACGTATTTCCCCAGCGTCGAAATCAGGCACATATAAATGTCAGGAAACACAATGGCTGCGTGTCAATATCCATGGATCACTGGATCTTTGGTAGGCCTAAATTGTAAGGAACACTTATATCGAGTCCAACCATCGTTTGTTTTACTCTCGTTTCCGCAGTTTCCCCTATTAAATCCAGTCACGCAGCAGCTCTTTTGCCACTCAGTCCAGCTGAGGGGGGCGTGTTCCGGCGGGAAAGTGACGCTAAGGCATTCCCTCTATACAGAGATGGGAAGTTAGGAGTGCCGTCGCGACTGTGCTGAATGCTGATGCTATCGCCCGGCTGGACTTTGCATTTATGGTGAAATTACTACATATTCAGGTCAGTCTGTGTTCATTTTGACCACGAACCGTGCGCTGTCACTTTAATTCAGCGTTTGTAACACAGCAGAAATGGACTCGGTGCGGAAACGATCTCTGCACTGCTGTATAGGCTACGCACCGCAACTGGAACAGATCGACCGTCGACGGACCGCATCCGCGTGCAGTGTGAAAGCTCTAACCTGTTAACATGGGTACGGAAAAAATATGCACCGCATACGCACTGCAAACCCAGCAAGCAATTTTGCGTCTAAAAGACGTCTAATAGTCGTCAAAACACAGCCCAGACGTCTAGGCTAAATCAAGGCTAAATTTGGGCTGTCAGTGAAAATCTAATAGACGTCTAACCAGAGCCCAAGAATAGACGTCTAACCAGCCCAAGAATAGTCATTAATTAGACGGCTATTGAACGACTACATATATACGTCTAATAGACAGTGCATATGGGTCTAGGCTAAAACAAGGCTGAATTTGGGCTGTCAGTGAAAATCTAATAGACGTCTAACCATAGCCCAAGAATAGACTAGGCATCAATTAGACGGCTTTTAAACGACTACACATATACATGTAATAGACAACAAAATTATGGCTAAAGGATTCTTTTCACTCAAATATAACAGGTTCTCATAAATGACAATCCATCCAAACAAATTAAATATAAAGGTTTTATTTAGAAAAAGAACATTAACAACTTACAAAAATATCAAAAACATAAAAATGACCAAATCAAATATTAAAAATACAATATAAAGTGATTAAAAAAATGGAACATCAACAACTTAAGATAATAAAATATAAAACTCTGTTGCTGCTGGGAAGTTGGTCATCACGGCATCTGCCAAATAAGAAAAAAATAATTTGCACAAGAAAAGCATTGTTGACAGTTTAACCTCAAGTGTGCATGGAATAATACATTCATCTGTACTATTTTGTGTGTACAGTATGTGTTCTGTTTAGGGATTAATGTACATCTGAGCTATTTGCATTATTGATATAGGCCTACTGCTGGATAATTTCTATAATTGCTTATTTTATATAGCCAATCATTTGTATTTTTATGCTGTATTATAAAATGAATTTGAAAGTTTCAAACTTTAACGAATGAAGGCATTCTGAATGAAACTTCATCTTATTGTGCTTGTACAATGACAAATATTATTCTACTCTATTAGCTTATGCTCTCTCTGTATGTAACAAGCTTCAGACAAATTCAACATTATAATTCAAATCAATGATGGACTTTGTCAAAGATGAGAGCTTTAGTGAGGGAATGCTATTTTCATATCATAATGATCTAAAGAAAAGAGTAAAATATAATTGTGGCTTTCATAACACTTTATAATAGGTTGCACATGTTTCATATTTACACCTTTGGATTCAGTTAATTCGAGTTTAAGAGCACATGGAAACATGGGGTTACAGTAACTGTAACACGTGCATGTACCATGATACACTGTAAATGTCATGATTCCAACAACACATGATAACAAATAATTTATCTAAAAAATTAGCACGTCAAAACGAAAACACAGATACTTACAAGACAAAAGTAGGAATGTATTTTACCTGTTCTCTTCGACCGACAGCTGAATGCAATGCTCTGGCTCGTTTGAAATGTTTCAAAATGGTGGAAATGTATCGCGCGATCACGAGAACGGTGATCTGTAGTAACTATCAAGTCTCGCGTTGCCAGTAATGACTACTGGCAACGCGTAGTCAGTTGGGCTGTTGCCATCTAGCGGTTGAGAAATGTAATTGCATTTTTATTTAATTTAAAATGAAAGACAGACAAATAATATCGTAGATATTATCGTACAGCGTGGGCGAAAAACATGTAAACAATTTTAAGACCATTTTGGCTATAATAATCGCTGGTCACTGATTCTTGAGAGTCGGGACAAAACATGTCCCACAAAGAAAAGTCTAATTTATAGCAAAAATTAAGAAATTCATCAAGTATGACATACTTACAAAGTTAAATCTAAAGGAATTGTATATACCTATCTGATTTTTAGAATAAACTTTTTTATCTTTTTGGGGAAAAGTTGTTTAAATGTATGGTCTGTGGTTAGATGGTCCATGTTATTGCACTTGTCCTCAGCAAGAGGTTACAATATTAACCATCCCAAAAAACTTTAAAAAAGCTCTACAATTGTGAAAACATATATATCAAATAAAAGATAAGGGGTATAAATATAAAAAACAATGCATGAAGTGAACATCAAACAATATTTTCCATAAATATCTGCCTATTAAAGTTGTGTCCTCAGTTTCTGTCAACTCCGTCAGATTTTTTCATAAAGCTCTTTAAATCAGGAAATAGCATGGTCAGCTATATCCTTGAGGACCCCTTTTCATCTCCCTGTCTGTGGTGAATGCAGCACTACCACACATGCTCTGGAACGTTTTACATTTTTTTATACTTTAGACAAACAATGTCAATATTCCTATGGTCACAGCTGCACCATGTCAATACCATCTTTCTGTTAAGATACTTTTTTTTAAACCATAGTGGATTGAATTTAAGCATTTTAGTGAGGTTATTGGGACAGCTAGCAACTGAGGAAAAACTACCTAGATGCAGTGTACAATACATGTTTTGGCGGGAAAATACATGCCCTTACGTCAACTCTGTCAGACGTCAACTCCGTCAGAACATAGAACCTGACGGAGTTGACCTGTAGCTGACGGAGTTGACAAATCCACCAATAACCTCTTAATGTGCGAATATAATATTATTTGTGAATATAGTGAAGGGTTAAACTGTTATTTCAGGGTTTTATTTACACATAAATGCACATACATAGCATGCATTACATTATTTAACCATACGCATGTCCGACGCCTGCTGCTCAAAGCATAAGCACAGGTTAGACAAAAATGAAATCTTAAGTAAGCTAATTGAACCTGATTCTAAGCTACAGATTATGTGTTGCAGTATTGTTGTCAAGGAATGTCAATTTAAGATCACACCCAGTATAAAGTAGGCAGTGCAGGGCAATCACACATCCAACACACCCAAACACACACATACGCACACACACACACACACACACACACACACACACACACACACACACACACACACGCCACTTTAAAGTAAATGGCTACTTACAAAGGAGGAAAGGAAGAGGAGAAGAGGTGGATGAGAAAAAGGAGAGCAGGAAGTGGTATAGGGGAGGTAGATGAAAACAGAGGGGGAGGAGGGCCCCTGGTTTCCCTTGTTGTTGTTTTTTATAGTTGGAAACGGTGTAATTTATAATAGTTGGAAACGGTGTATGTGCTTATAGTTTGCTTTACAGTAAGTTCAATACTCTAATAACAAGGAGTAGTTTTAGTAGTAGTTTAAAGAGCACATCTGTTCAATAATCACAATGCACACACATTTTTTGTCAACACCGTCAGTTTTTCATCAACACCGTCAGTTTTCCCATCAACACCGTCAGATCTTCATCAACAGCGTTGGATGTATGTTTTTGTTTTTGTAAATTTTTGGGGGAAAAAAATGTTCTTCCTTCAGTTTATGTTGTTTTTGTAATAAAGGACCATCTGATCTACATCATCTTATGTTTTATTTATTTAAGGAATTTGTTTTTACAATATTGAAATTAAAATCAAAGTTTGGAAATGCAAATATTTAGAAATCTGAGTTTTCAGAATAGTGTGAAATCACAACTTAAGTTTATATATTGTATTTTTTTTACATATCAGAGTAACTAAACACTATTACAATATACTTCAGAAATTTAGATTCTTTTTGGATTGGAAGAATTAAAATTGTATACTTTTTAGTGTGTCTGACGGAGTTGACACAAATCCAGTTCTGAAGGGAAACATGTTTATTTGTTAAAAATGTGTTTTTATTTAGAACCTGTTCCTTAACATGGTTAAATAGCTAAGACCTTTCTCTGCAGAAACATACAACTATAATTGATATAGTGTGTATTTAAAAAAAAAGTTTTTTAAAACGTGTTTTGTCCCGACTCTCAAGAATCAGTGTGGTCTAAATCAGGGCTAGCCAAGCCGTTAAACACCACTGATTGCCTCGATTTCGCCGGGTGGGCTAAAAGCAGACTGCACTAGCCCGTCCAATTCAGAGCTAAATCGTGACCACAGATCGACCATGTCATGAAATGACACTGGCACCTTGTAGATGCGAACATGATGGGATAGGCTATCAACCATCTCATGCGTTGCCTGCCCAACAATTAATTAAAACTACAATTAATCATGTTTCGACTATAAGTGGGCTATAAATAGCCGGGCTGATCACGAGCTAGATCGTGGCTACGCACAGCCTACACATAGAAAGCGTCACAAAAATGAAACCAAATACCTTATAATCACAGTTGACTTTGCTTACATGATGGAATATCATAGATTTTGCAAGTTATTTTGGAAAAAAATACATGTAACCAGATTCATGTTATTTTGGCTAGAAGTGGGTTACACATAGCCGGACTATATCGGGTCTATATTTAACCTAGAAGGTGAAATGAGGGCTATTGCTTGCTGGGAACGTAATGCATTAAGCCATGTTAGCGTTTCAGAACATCCACAAGGAGCCGGGTTTCGTGACATCATCGCGTACAATAGAAGTCCCATTTCATTGGCTAGGCGCCAACCAATAAAACGGCTGTAAAACCAATACCCCCCCCCCCCCCCCCCCCCTCTCTCGCCAGCCCGCCCGCCCGCCACTCTCTCTCTCGCCCACCCGCCAGCCACTCTCTCTCTCGCCCGCCCGCCACTACTGAGTTACAAGTGCACAAATCAGTTTTGCACCTCATATATCGCGAAAAGAGTAGCAAAAGTCAAGGCGCGAAATTTGAACTTGCAGTGACAGATTTGAGAAGTTCCAAGTGCCAATTTGAGGTTGTACTGCGAATTTGAATGTTAGAAGAAGTGCAAATATATTTTACATGTTTGTGACTGTCATTGTAGAATGGCATTTTACACATTTGTGACTACTTGTCTGTCTGCAGCTTCAGATTCAGAATACAGGTTTGTGACTATTGTCTGCGAGTGCAAATTTCAACATTCAACTTCAGATTTTTATTTTACAGGTTTTCACATTGAATTAGTGTTAGCCTACGTCATAAATTAGTGTTACCAAGCTTGTCAAGATTCCTGGTGCGCACATCGGCGCATTAATTTACCAGTATAGATTACTGAGTCGAGTACCTGTTGATTTACAGTGTTTGCTTCTTTTATTTCCTTCAGTGTTTGCTTCCCTTTTTACTAGGCTATTTGTGAAAAATACTATTATGCGATTACATAATCAAGAAGTCGCCATTTACAGTAGGCTATAAGTCTGTTTTAATTAGAGATTTTTTTTTTTTATTCATTTTCAAATTATTTATCCCTAATTTATTAAATATTAATTAAAATACAAAGTATAGCATACACTCACCTAAAGGATTATTAGGAACACCATACTAATACTGTGTTTGACCCCCTTTCGCCTTCAGAACTGTCTTAATTCTACGTGGCATTGATTCAACAAGGTGCTGAAAGCATTCTTTAGAAATGTTGGCCCATATTGATAGGATAGCATCTTGCAGTTGATGGAGATTTGTGGGATGCACATCCAGGGCACGAAGCTCCCGTTCCACCACATCCCAAAGATGCTCTATTGGGTTGAGATGTGGTGACTGTGGGGGGCATTTTAGTACAATGAACTCATTGTCATGTTCAAGAAACCAATTTGAAATGATTCGAGCTTTGTGACATGGTGCATTATCCTGCTGGAAGTAGCCATCAGAGGATGGGTACATGGTGGCCATAAAGGGATGGACATGGTCAGAAACAATGCTCAGGTAGGCCGTGGCATTTAAACGATGCCCAATTGGCACTAAGGGGCCTAAAGTGTGCCAAGAAAACATCCCCCACACCATTACACCACCACCACCAGCCTGCACAGTGGTAACAAGGCATGATGGATCCATGTTCTCATTCTGTTTACGCCAAACTCTGACTCTACCATCTGAATGTCTCAACAGAAATCGAGACTCATCAGACCAGGCAACATTTTTCCAGTCTTCAACTGTCTAATTTTGGTGAGCTCTTGCAAATTGTAGCCTCTTTTTCCTATTTGTAGTGGAGATGAGTGGTACCCGGTGGGGTCTTCTGCTGTTGTAGCCCATCCGCCTCAAGGTTGTGTGTGTTGTGGCCTCACAAATGCTTTGCTGCATTCCTCGGTTGTAACGAGTGGTTATTTCAGTCAAAGTTGCTCTTCTATCAGCTTGAATCGGCCCATTCTCCTCTGACCTCTAGCATCAACAAGGCATTTTCGCCCACAGGACTGTCGCATACTGGATGTTTTTCCCTTTTCACACCATTCTTTGTAAACCCTAGAAATGGTTGTGCGTGAAAATCCCAGTAACTGAGCAGATTGTGAAATACTCAGACCGGCCCGTCTGGCACCAACAACCATGCCACGCTCAAAATGGCTTAAATCACCTCTCTTTCCCATATTGACATTCAGTTTGGAGTTCAGGAGATTGTCTTGACCAGGACCACACCCCTAAATGCATTGAAGCAACTGCCATGTGATTGGTTGATTAGATAAATGCATTAATGAGAAATTGAACAGGTGTTCCTAATAATCCTTTAGGTGAGTGTATATCAAATCT